GAGAGGGGCTTCCAATAGAATATGGCACGCTGGACATAAGTGGACCACTGCTGTAATGCTTGAATGATAACAAGCCTCCAGTCACTAGGGGGCAGCAACTCATACAGTGGTTTGTACAGATAAGAATATACATGTTATCAGGTTCTTGCTAATATTTCAATTTATAGGGGTGTAAAAACATTTCTGTCCCCAAGGGGGTGGGGGGGGGGCATGACAGAGAATAATGAAGGACCACTGATTTAGGATGAGTAATGTAAAGTTTTCAAGCGGAATTCATGGAGAATTATCAGTTAGCCGAGATACGAACATTTGTAGATACAAAACAACCGCTGACTGACGTCATCCGTAAAATGTTCGCAAAATGCTTTATTGCGTTCGCAAAGTACGCATTTGAATGGCGCGCCCCAAATGGCAATTATAGATAGAAATGTATTGTATAACGACTTTGTATTTTGTTTTCAGGGTGTGGCTGATCTGGGGTCAGTTACCCCCCCTCCCCCCCCCCCCCCCCCCCCCCCCCGGCCCGGGGGTGGTTTTTGTTTTGTTTTTTTTTTTTTTTTTTTTTGCATCAAGGCAGTAACAACGACAGAGGTTAATCACACAGTTTAGGTTTTTGGGAAACACCGATCCAAGTCAAAACCAAAAGACAGCATCACAGTGACGCCTTATTAATATGGCTGTTAGGGCTTATGCTTGGTCAGGTCTCAGGAGTTTAAACCAGAGGTGGAAAGTAAGGAATTACAGTTACTTAAGTAACTGTAACCGAGTAGTTTTTGCGAGTAATTTGTCATTTTTAATAGGTATAGGCAATTGGTAATTTTACTTTTACTTAAGTACATTTTGACTCAAGCTTTTTACTTGAGTACTTTGGAAAAGAATGCGTTACTGAGTAAAAAATTAAAATCTGTGGAAAATCTGCGTTAACTGAAAGAAAACTGCGTTTATTTCCCACTATTTTTGCAGCCAGATAATGTTGACTACTAGCCTTCGACGGACGATGGCCGGTGCCCAACAAGAAAAAATGGAGGTTGAGGATTGCTAAGCAGAGAGCTCCCATGGAGCAGATGACTTAGAAAGAAAAGGAAATCCTTGGCCATATCTCAGCCAGCTCTTCGTTTTCAAATGCAAATGAGGGAATAACTCTCTCAAGCTGTAGCTGTCGAAACTTCAGCGATTTTTAAGTGTTTAAATGGATCAACTTCTGCCACTTGTACTTGAATTGTTGATTAAAAACAACTAGTTCCTGTTTTGCATCAGGTAATTTAAAGTAACTGAGTAACTTTTACAAATTAAGTATTTAAATTAAGTATTTTATTACTTTTACTCAAGTAGATTTTTAGACGGGTACTTTTACTTGAGTATAATTTCAACTACATTTAAAGTAAAGATACTTGTACTTTTTTTTTTTTACAACTCTTCTTTTCCACCTCCTGTTTAAACAGATGTAACAGAAACCGGGACATAAAAGACAACTTTTTCACCTGTCGACCTTGAGGCTGGAACGATGACTGCAAGTCCTGGTGGGACAAAAACCAGGTGATGAGACAGAGAGTGATTAGAATTACATCTAAATCTAACACAGAGTTGCAAATGAAACACGGTTAAAGGTGACGAGACACGGTAACAGACAGACAATCACATCTACCAAGTTACTCTTATTTAAAGAAAAAAAAAGAAGTGGCGAAAAAGGAATTCATCCAAAAGCAAGCAAAGCAGCATCAGCAAACTTTCGTCTTTTTTTTGTCCACAGCCTCAGCAGAGAAATGCGTTACGTTAGATGTCCAGCAGGTGGTGTCTTTCTTCAGCAGCAGCATCAGCAGGAGGAGAAGCACACCAATTTATTAACAAGAGATATCGGACACGAAGCCCGCAGCTAAAACAGGTGAAGAGTGTGGGCAAAAGACCAGGGCGGGGAGACGGGGGGGGGGGTCTGGCCTATGATGTCATCAATGATATCACAACGAGAGTGAAACAACTATAGGACTTGACTGAAGGAGAAAGACAAAGTGACGGACAACCAGAAAAAAAAAAAAAGTAGAGATACGGAGGGATGTTTGCGGTCTGTTGAAGCGCTTCTATGTTTTGTTTGCATTTTAGGGGCAGGAAGAGTGGTGTAGGGGGCGCTCTTACCAAAATTGAATTGCTAACACTGGAGTGGCCATTGGCCGGGGACTGTCTTGAGATGGTGGGGGAGTCTCTCTGAAATAGGACACACACACACACACACACAGAGACGCAGAAGGGCAGACAATCAACAGTTTAAAAGACTTTTAAGTTTGAGGTTACTTGGATTAAACTAAACCCTTTAATCTCACTCTGGGCTGATTTTTCAGGTTTGTTTAGTTAACCCTTTCACGCATGACGGTCACTACAGTGGACAGCTATGAAAATGTCATTTTCTATGATAAGAATAGGTTTTGATGGCAGCGTTGCATATAAGCCTCTGCAGTGGACGCCTGAGAATCACCCAACACTGCCATACAGTGGTCAGCCTTTGCAACTGCAGAATAATTGTGTCAACATTCAAAAAGAAAAATTTGGTGTATAAAAACAGAACCAAATCAGTTCTTATTTTTATGTCTAAAAACACGTAAAAACACTTAGTAACATTTTTTTAACTCAGTATATCATGGGTCATGCATCAAAGGGTTCATTTAAGTTTTGTTTTAATGTCTCCAAACGGCAAAGTCAACCGAGTCTTGATATTAGCTCCGTTGGTCTGCGGCTGTTTCTTGCGGTCTCTTATCTTTTTGGACTTTGGTGTAAGAGAGCAAGTGATTTAAAAACTGTGTGTGTGCAGGTTAAGAAGGAATGTTCCGGTATCTTCGATTTAAAAAATTGGTGTGCAAATGATCAGATCAAGCCCACGTTCGAACACCGTGTCCCACACACTCATGGCCCCACCCACCTATATCCCCACACAGACAGATGCTCAATAACCAGGCGAGCAGTTAGTAATGCAGTCTGGATATCAGAGCAGTGTCGCAGCGGTGAACCAGGACAGGAAGTAGTATAAGATGTTACCTCACAGGAGCCCTGCGTTCGATAACTTGGCACAATTTTAAAGGTGATGCTGCCTCGCATCTCTCTCTGTGAACACACACACACACACATACACGAATGTAAGAAACCAACGTGACGTTTTGGCACAGATCCTGCTGCAGATGTAGGAACAGACACTGACCAGCATCTTCTGTAGTTGCTCCACGGTCTGGTTTGCCACACTGATGCCGTTGATTTCCTTTATTTCATCACCCACGTGCAACGTTCCTAAAGCAAAGGAGGTGGAAGAGGAGTTAGAGGGAGAAGACAGGTCGGGGGAAAAAAAAAAAAAAAAGTTTGAACGTTCTGTCTGACGAGCTTCTCTAACAGGACACAGAAGTTTATAACTTGCTTCAATCTTCTTCTTCTTTTTCTTTTCGGCTTTGTCCCCTTTTTTTTTTCAGGGGTTGCCACAGCTAATCATTGATTTCCATCTCTCCCTGTTCTCTGTATCTTCTACTCTGACTCCAACTACCTGCATGTCCTCCCTCACTACATCCATATATCTCCTCTTTGGCCTTCCTCTCATTCTCCTACCTGGTAGCTCCATCTCTAACAATCTTCTACCAATGTATCCACTGTCCCTGCTCTGCACATGTCCAAACCATCTCAATCTGGCTCCTCTAGCCTTTTTTTCTCCAAAGCTTCCTGTCTGTGTTGTCCCTCTAATGACCTCATTCCTGATCCTGTCCATCCTTGTCACTTCTTTAACTCTGCCACCTCCAGCTCCTCCTCCTGTCTTCTGCCTATTGCTACTGTCTCTAAACCATACATCATGGCTGGTCTCACCACCGTCCTGTAAACCTTTCCCTTCACCTTAGCTGACACTCTTCTGTCACAGATCACTCCTGACACTCTTCTCCAGCTGTTCCATCCTGCCTGTACTCTATTCTTCACCTCTCTTCCACAGTCTCCGCTGCTCTGAACAGTTGATCCTAAGTCCCTAAACTCCTGCACCTTCACCACCTCTGCTCCTTGTAGCCTCACTATTTCACTGTTCTGCCTTTCGTTTACACACATGTACTCTGTCTTGCTGCGACTGACCTTCATTCCTCTTCTTTCTAGTGCAAACCTCCACCTCTCTAGGTTCTCTTCTAGCTGCTGCCTACTCTCACTACAGATCACAATGTCATCTGCAAACATCATAGTCCATGGGGACTCCTGTCTGACCTCATCTGTCAATCTGTCCATCACCACAGCAAACAAGAAGGGGCTCAGGGCCGATCCTTGATGTAGTCCCACCTCCACTTTGAAGTCTTCTGTCCTCCCAACAGCGCACCTCACTACTGTTGTACTATTCTCATACATGTCCTGCACCAAACTAACATACTTCTCTGCCACTCCTGACTTCCTCATACAAAACCACAATTCCTCCCTTGGCACTTTGTCATATGCCTTTTCTAGATCTACAAATACACAATGCAGCTCCTTCTGACCTTCCCTGTACTTCTCCATCAACATCCTCAAGGCAAATATTGCATCTGTGGTACTCTTCCTAGGCATGAAACCATACTGTTGTTCACAAATCTCCACTTCCTGCCTCAACCTAGCTTCAACTACTCTTTCCTAAATCTTCATTGTATGGCTCATCAACTTTATCCCTCTGTGTGTATATATAGAGAGTTTATATGTGGTGTAATTTTAATTTTATTAATTAATAGTATATTTCTTGGGAGGCTAGAGCGAATGAATGGGTTATTAATTCTTTTTAATGGGGGAAAATGCAGTCGGGATACGAGCGGATCGACACACAAGTAGGTATTTGAATTAGATAAGCGGTTGTTTGTTTATGAGTTTTACAGGTTTCGAGTTGATGCTTATTTTTGTTTGTTTGTTTGTCCAGTGGTGTTGGGAGAAAACGTACCTTGTCTGTGGATCATTCCACCATGCATTATCCGTGCTACGCTGCAGTGGTTTGTGTCATTCATCTTCAGTGTGATGCCCTGTGTTTATTAGCGTACAAATACTCATCATCATCATCATCATCATCATCATCATCATCATCATCATCATCATCATCATCATCATCATCATCAGTAGGTAAAGACTCAAAGCTTTGCAATGCGGTGTGACGGTGAGAAACCGCACCATTGGCTCCTCGGTGTTCTTCTGAAACTGTACCAGACGGACTCTGGTGACATTCTCCAGGTCTATGTCTCCGACAGTGCTATCAGGGGAGTCCCCGTTGACGTAGGGGGAGGTCGGCGGCGGCGTCACTCTGAGTGCCTCGTCGCTGTAAACTTCGTGGGCCACAACATCGTGAGCCTGAAGCAGAGCCTTGAGACAACGCGGAAAACGGAGCTCGTGTAAGCGCTCATAACTAGATATTTCATCATATCAGATATACATATATATATATATATACATATAAATACATATTTACATATACACACACAAAAATTGATCTGAGTAATTTCTGTACCCTGCGTATTTGTGTCTATATACACGTCGCATTTAGACTTACCATAAAGTGTGGCTGCACCAGGATTCGTCGAAGTTCTTTAACCTCGTGGATTTCTGGGTAACAGGAGATTTCCTCCAGAACCTGAAGAGGAGGACCGAGACACACACACATCACAGGCCACACTTTGGTTAGCATGTTCGTATGACTTTACGGACTTTAGCTTCATGAAATTAAGAAACACTGCTTTACCCCAATTAACTTTCGTACCCACTAAGCCAATGTTTCGCAACCTTTTTTGATCCATCCATCCATCTATCCATCCATCCATCTATCTATCTATCCATCCATCCATCTATCTATACATCCATCCATCTATCTATCTATCTATCCATCCATCCATCCATCCATCCATCTCTGTCCGTCTGTCCAAGCATTTTTTGTTTAAATATTTACTCAGATTTACTCTATGCTGACAAACATGTGGCTAAGGTTCTATTAAACCAAAAAGGCAGCTCACAAAAATACAAACACTTAAGATACAGTGAAGCCAATTTAATTACACTGGGTTTTCTTTGTAATGACTGAAGAAAATGTCTTGCGAAAATGCTGTCAGGTCTGAAAGTTTTAACTTAAAAAAAAAAAATAAATAAATAAAATCACATCAGGTCTCCTTTAACGACAGAAGCGGAAGAAACGTATTATTTCGAAACCACTTTTTTTTTTTTTTTTCCACTGGAGTGTGTTTACCTCTTTGGCTCTCTGAACACTGTCGCTGGCCTGGTTCCTGATTTGTGGTGATGTCCTGCTGTTGATTTTATCATAGAGCTGAAACAGATCAACAGAAACTGGTGGTTACATGTGAGTTGTTCCTGTTTACAGCTTGAGCTGTACATTTCTTATTTTGCAAAGCAACATGCATTCAACCTCACGGTTTGACACCTCAATGCTTCAGGTTCAAGTGAATGAAAATAAAAAATAAAAAATTCCATTGTATCCAATTAAAAACCCGCTAAACCTTAAATTTCCACATTTGCACCGCTTCGACCGTGAGGCTTCTCTGAGCATCATTGAACCGTCTGGTACAGACACACACTTGTCTTGTGCGCACGTGTCCGTGTCTCGCAGCTGCAGCCTTTGTTCACACTGATTTTTACCCGGCCGTAAACTCAAAATGACGGTTTAGCTTATGTTTGAAGCTAAAAAAAAAAAATGAAGTCGCAAAACTCCAAAGTGTAAATGAAAATGTTTCTTCACGCTCCACAGACGTCCGCTGCTGATGCTGCCATCGCTAAATTCAAATGCGTAATTTTGTGCCTACCCTGTTCGATTCCATTTATTGACACAAACATTAGAACATTTTAAATAACCTTTAGTTCATACTTTTATCTCAAGATCGCCCTTAGCAACCGAAACTAAACCTTAGCAACCACTGACGGTTGCATCACCGAGTGCAAGTTGAATCTTGCGACAACAATAATTACGTAAGTTTTATTGCAGTATACAAACATATAGTAAAATACAAACAGTAAAATATATTTTCTATGCCGATTTTATTATTTTTGTTAATACTACCACAGGGTATATAAAAAAAAAATCATGCAGTCATATTTAAGAATGGGTGATGGTCACATTTTAATTTTTTTTTTTTTTTTTTTTACTAAAGTACATGAAATATACTGTGAAGGCAGAGAATAGGAAAACGGAAGGATGCAACGGAAGCAGAAAAACAGCTTTTCTGGTTCAACAGAAATCCTGCACCTAAATCAACTGCAGTTTGCGGATGCATCGGTTATGTAAAACCGCATCTCCTACAGTAGAGCAGAGAGTATCTACTACGGATTGTCGTGTTTATCAACGGCTGATACGACAGAAAAAGAAAAAAAAAAAAAAAAAAGAGAAAAAAAACGACGAAAAAAGAAAACACACTTACCCAGAAGAAGCGGAGCATTCGAACGCACGAGACGCGATCAAAGAGGCGACTCCGTCAACATTCGTGCTCTCGTTTGTTTGTTTGTGTCTTTCCGCATGAGCGGCTGAACACAGACTGAGTGTGCGTCTGATACAGAGGCCATGCTTGTTGTGAGAGGAACCAGCGGTTGGACAATGGAAGCCATTGTGGTTTTGGTCACACACAAACTTCTATACGAATGGTCCCAACAGAAATCAGAGATTTTTTTGCTCTTGCTCTCAGTTCAACCTTTAGCGGTCAAACACTTTCTTCGGAATGATCTCAGTGGCACTGACTGACCACAGGAGGCAGCAGTGGACCAGCAAATGCTATTTACGTTTGGTTTGATTTCCTTTATAGCCATAAAAAAAATTAGGTTCCTCCTCCAGATACGAGCGTCCCGGGATATGAGTATTTCCGAGGTTACGAGCAAGCCTTCGACCAAGCAATTTTTTGCTCTTCGAGATACGAGTAAAGATTTGAGATACGGGCGCGCTTACAGATGCTGACGCTAGGCGGCCGAGCCCGCCGCTTCACTCGTTGACGTGTTCGTCAACTTCCGTACGCACCCCTCCCGCGAGTCTTCTGTGTTGTGTTTGCGTTATCTACGCATGACTTTCTCTCGTCATTATAGCGATGAGTGGTAAGGCATGTAGTGAGAAGAAGAAACGCACGATGACCATGGAAATAAAGCATGACATTGTCGATAAATATGAGCGTGGTGCCCGCTAAAGAAAGAATATAAATCGAAAAAAAAAAGCAAAAAAAGAAGTTAAGTTACGTAGTGTACGTGTAAGGTAAGGCATGGAATCAAGTGTCTACGTACGGGCCAACTCTCTTACCCCCCCTTCCTCCCTCCCTCCCTCCTCCTCCCCCCCCCCTTTTTCCATCGTTTCTAGCACTAATTTTATAGCGTTTTACAGAAGGCCGGAACAGATTCATTTTTTTTTCTGTTATTTCTTATGGGAAAAAATGATTTGAGATACGAGCACCTCGAGTTACGAGTACCTCTGACGTGTATTTGTTTAACTCACATCCAGTAGTGTGTGGAGATGCTGGTCCTGGAAAACACTGTGGAGGAAATCCAGATCTTTCTCGCTGCAGTCTGTCAAAGCGTGGATCTCCTCTAGACTGTCCAAGACCTGAGACACTGCACCTGTATGATGTCACATCAACATTGGTTTAGGGATGACGGTAAAATGTCAAAAAAAAAAAAACGTATATATGTGTAAAATAAACAGGTAGGTTGAAGAGAAACAAGAGAGTAACGAGATTTTTTTAAATTATTTTTATTTTGGCTTAACAAGACTTGAGACTACACTCACTGACTCAGCGGTTCTCAGTTATTTTCACGTCATGTCCCCCTCTTGTGGACAGAAATGTTTTCGCACACCCCACCCAAGAATTATTGTGAACTATTAAATACTATTGAGTAAACCTGATAACATGTATATTTCTATCTGTACAAACCACTGTATGAGTTGCTGCCCCCTAGTGGCTGGAAGCTTGTTATCATGCAAGCATTACAGCAGTGCTACATTGCCATATTCCATTGGAAGCCCCTCACGCCCCCCTGGAACCTTCCTGTGTCCCCCCAGGAGGGCCCGCCCCACTATTTGAGAAGCACTGCTCTAAGTAAAGGTTGTCATTCTTTTCAAAGCTCAATCAATATCATCCTACATTGTTTTTTTTTTTAGCTCCATTTAGCACCAGACCATTCCTTTCCAGGTTAACAATGGTTAAGTTATGCTAACCCAATAACTAATTCAAAAAAAGTAGAATGAGGTGTGCTTATATATTTTTTTTTTCTGAAAATTCTTGCATTGATTCTGCGGTTCTTCCCCAGCGCTGGGTTTGCATGAACAACTAAATAAAAAAAAAAAATTACTGTAGTCTACTGTAGGCTACATTTCAAAAGTCAGCTTGTTTTTGAAATCATGATTTTTCTCTAAGGGCTTTGGTTGGAGAAACTGACTGAAAGAAATGCAGACACACACACACACACACATACACATAAACATAACAGCGTTGATACCTACGTTCTTCGGCCAGTAGTCCTGTCACGTTAGAGGCATTAACAGAAGCAAATCAATTTAAATGTTAGTGTTTCAACACGGTTTACTTCACACTGGACAACAGTGCTAATGAGTTCATGAGGTCAGAGTTGGTGGGAGCTTCCAAAGAAATGGATGGATGGATGGATGGATGGATGGATGGATGGATGGATGGATGGATGGATGGATGGATGGATGGATGGATGGATGGATGGATGGATGGATGGATGGATGGATGGATGGATGGATGGATGGATGGATGGATGGATAGAT